TCGTTCATATATCAGAACCTAAACCACCAGAATGCCCGAATAAAGGATAGATACAGAGTTTGGGCCATGCACAATCCAACATTTTGTTCCAAAATATATTCTCGTATATACACGTATTTATGTATGTGATATATGTGAAAGATCTGCCTTTGAAATCAATAGATTATAATATCAAAAACTTTATATTTTTTCAATATGGGAACCTCACGCCATTATTGACGTATTAAGTCAAAATGTCACCATGAACTTGGTAATTTACCGCGGGCAACTGTAAATAGTCATCTATATTCTGTAAGGGCTTTTCAATACATGCATGAAAATTAGGATAATATTTTTAATTACAAAAAATCAACAAAGCAAATTAAACAAATCGAGGGTTTAGAACATAACTGTGATAAGTCACAATGCTTGATATATTGACTTATCACAATTATGTTCTAAACCCTCGAAATACAGCTACACTGTCGGAAAACAAACTTGGCCCATGCAAGGTTGTTCATGTATTAATGAACAACATTGACAAACAAGGTGGCACCGCTAAAATGTAACCGCTCTTTAGGAGAGCACATATAAAATAAAACACAAAATCCGAAAAGAAGATTATATATATATTATAGCCAAGACTCCGACGGATCTAGTAAACAAGTGCTGATAAATGTGAACAGGTGGGTATTTAGATTGTTATCGGTTTGATCTGAAGGTGAATCAAAGTAAACAAGACATACCTATGTATAGATCTACATGTTCTTATTAAACAGGTAGAACCTTTGATAAAAACTAGACATCCTTGAGACAGAAGGTCGATCTAATTAAAATAAGATCATAAATTCGTTTCGTTTATTTTGTCTTATTTCTACACTTCATTTCAATGTAACCCTCAACCTAAGCAGTGGAGCATCTGAACCAAAAGATTATTTAAACTAATAAACACAAGATCTTGAGGTGGTCTATTTATCAAATATTTTACATGTTTAAGAAAAGTACATCCTGGACCTCTGATGGCAATATACCATAGATCTTCATTAAACAGATTTTAAAACAATTTCTCCTTATTTCTTTATCGCGATATTGATTGGTAGGTTGCTTTAATATATCGACCAATCATAATCTCCAATAAAAAAATTTTCGATACTTAAACAACCGAAGAAATTTTGCTATTTTAATTAATGCATTCGACGATGAACCACTGGTTTTGTCATGAGCAAAGTATAAACAGAACTATGTCTCAAGCTGTAAACCAACAAATTATAATGCTGATCATTTCAAAACATTGGTACGGTGTTTTGATTCTCTGTTAGTTTAGTTTATACAAAATATATCATGCATGACCTTAACAATAATCTGTAATGAGAATTGTATCGATTTCAAACTATCTGGGGATCTTTAGCATCCCATCCGAACGATTCGGCACATTTACTTGCCAAGCACTCCGTCCTGCACCACAAACAAGGGAAACCAAGCTGGAAAATCTACACGGGGATCGAGACCTGGGTCCTGTTTCACGAAATTTTAACTAAAGATAAAATCCAATTTTAGTAGATACTTCAATTTTGATTGGCAAAGCACTACAATCAGTCTTATATTATCCAATCAAATTAATAAAATTTGGATTTTATCTTAGTTAAAATTTCGTGAAACAGGCCCCAGGCCCCACGGGTTAGTAAGACAGTGCAATACTCATGCAGAATAACCCAGAATGGGATATTGTATCAGGTGTTGTATATCTCACATATAAAAAGTTTTACTTTCAATTAATAACATCGCCATCACCTGCCCATAATTCATTAAATGGTTCTATGTCAATCATTAAAAATGTCTAATAGGATATTAGTAGTAATAATACGAGTATTTTATGGATATTAACCGGATTTAAATGTCGATTAATTAACATTAAAATCGATATTGGTGTTAAACCTGTCTATTTATTAAACACACCTGAATCATTTTATTTTCAGATAAATAAAATCACAACTTCCATAGTATTATTCTGAAGTTCTGTTATATTATCAATACATTGCATCTAATATATGTGACCCAATGTAATCTAAAACATTCAAAATATAGATATGCTACTATTTATTTTATTTTTTAGGTTGGGAGGGGGGGGGTCATTAGCTCCTAAGGTCTGTCATTGTGGCAAGTGGCGTGGTCTCGACCTCAACCTAGTTTGTGTCAAGAAAACGTGAAAATCCCATTTCTCTTAATGTAAAAGAAATGAATTTAAAATTAAATTTGCCTTTAGTAAAAATCGAAATCAAAATAGAGTCACGTTGAATGGAATTTGGAAACAAGACGATATGAGTGAAGACACTATGCAGGAAAATGGATTGGCATTAGGTCTCAAAAGTCGTCAATACTAAAATCCCGAATATTTATCAACCTGTGGGTTCTTCTAAAATTTCGTGAGAATATAGCGTGCGCATTAACTGTACTGTGGATATATGCATCGCTTTTATCCAAATCTCATGTCGGAAACGCCTTCATAATTTAAACCCGTCCATATTAGGACACGGAGTTACCTTACCATAAACAGATGATTTCATAAGGGATCTATAGGCCTCATCAGTCTGGAAGTTGCAGTCGTGAGTGTGTCCACAGATGATGTCTGACTTGCATATATCTTTTGACAAATCAAAGCTCACATAAGGACGATTATATCGTTTATATATGAATAAGAACGTAGTAGACATGATATGCATATATACTCTTCAAAAAAAGTAGGGGATATTCAGAAACAATACAAAACTGCACTGCTGTTTTTATTAGAGGTAACCAGTGTTACTATGTTAATAACAGGCCAATTGCCTATACATGAACATAAACAGTTTATATGGGCGGCTTATCTGACGGCCCCATTTCACTCGCAAAGAGATAGACCGTCAAAAGTGAAAATGGACGTTTTTGTTTTTGTTTTAAAAATGAGTAATTGCTCCACCAATCCTCAGACCTTCAGCAATTCGTCGTGACATGCCCCTAATCAACCGTCCAATCACGATTTGGGGCAATCTGACCCCCTCCTCTTGCAGTGCCACGGCCAATTCTTGCAGTGTTGTTGGTTGACGTTGACGTCGACGAACACGTCTCCCGATCAAATTAAACGTAACACACTAAAGCAAAGATACGCTAAACAGTGAATCTTATGCAAGAACCGATAGGAATGCTAACATGGATAGATAAACCAGCACGCGACAGTTTTCATCAACCCTTCCCTGAAGTGTCACATCTGACAATGAACCCCTCCCATGTGTATGGCGCTATTGCGTGTCGCATGAGCAGCTCAGTGGTTCTGTTTGGGCGATAAGTTCTTCATCTGTGAACATACTCTCAAAGCAAGTCAAGTGTCCATGACTATTTACCATATCACAACCGGCATAGGCATTTGCATTTCAATATCCCCTACTATAAGCCCGCACTATAAGTTATATGGGCCTGCAACTGGTGGATTTATTAAATTTGTAGTAGAGCATGCACAGTTCCCGCCCACTTACATGTGGGAGTATATACGGTATTATGCCTTGATGGGTTGGTTTATAAATGATGCGCGGTTGGTTTCCCTGTGATATGAAGACGATTGTTCTTAGACAGGAATATCATCTTGTTATAAATAATAGGAACTAAATGAGACGTGCATGCATGTCTAATGCTATTCCTTGTAATTAGTGTGATAATTCAACGTGATCAATTCAGTAGTTTCACGTCTGGCATACGTTCAAATTTACATTATTTTACCTTTATATTTTATAGTTTTATACTTTCAGGATAACTAACCAGACATCCATCATGATATAAGTCATCTTCAATAGAAGGCTTGATCTCGCTTTAACTACGTGCATCTTATCAAGGCCTTCACGTAATACCCTGCATATCTCGGCACTAATTTCAGATTTCTCGATCGTCGCGAATACCAAGTCTCGTGCTTTCAAGCCAAAATGTCTACCTGTGATAATCGAGTTGCACAGTTCAATGTTCTTTCAATATCAAGGTTTCCGTAGAGGTCGCGATGTGACAACCTCTGTTTGGACGCTACTGCTCACGTGTCTGTAGATAATATAGCTACAAGTTCGGGAATTGTGAAGTAAACAAGCAAAGTCCAGATGTTGTAAAACTCGCAGTCGTTGCTTCGGGAACATGGGTATAAGTAGTAAGTTGTTGTGTCCTCCCTTATTATACATCAGGGAAGATAATTCAATTTGACAGCATTCGTTCAAAATGCTGCTGTATTGCCACTTTATTGTTTATTCCTAATTCTAATTTAAATTTCAATTCTATCGTTCTGTTCTGAACTTCGGATTTATTTAACTTTTTAATGGAAACGATTAATATTCCATTTCCATTCAATTGAGTAAAAACATAACCCCACATATGGCAGCCATAAACCACTCCCGTGTTATTGCGTAACACTAATTGCATTTATAGATATTATAATGTTAGAATGGCGGGCTTATTCTGGAAGAGTCAATCAGAACCGCAACGACTAAGTTCAAAACATTAGAATAAAATCAATTGAACCATAGAGACAAACGATATTTAGTCTCGAAATTGGAATCAAGTTGGGTGCCTTAATGTAATGAAAACCAAATATAGCGCCGTAAATAACATATTATCAAAATATTATTACATCGCAGTCTATTAACAACGGTTGTGTGGCTATGGATATGCTATAAATTTCACTGACAAAACATACGATAATGCTTCGTCTGGTGCAACAATCATAATAACATATTACATCTTATTCACCTCTAAACACGGTCGTTCAGCCTTATACATCGAACACATGGTACTGTATAGTGTTCCCCCAGTGGATAGACATATGAAAAAAGAAACACTTTTCCTGATTTTATTCAATCGCCCTATAAATATGATAACCGATTAAACTCTTGCCATTGTGTTTTCGAATCCCCGGTTGAACGTGACAAGGAGTAAGGTCGCACAATCGCGCACCTTGCCACAGTGTGACACAATTATAACACGTTGGATAAATGTTAAACAATTTGACGTACCTGCAACCACTGAGGATATGATAAAAATAATAAAAACGGTTACATCAGCACGGATCTCCATCTTCATTATCTCAAATTTACTGTAATCTACCAGTATTTATTTAGTGGAACTCAGACGTATTCAACCTGAAAAATACGAATATTTGTATTCAATAATATCAATTTATAACCTATAGCCTATACTGAACAAACTTTTGATGCACTTTTGATGCAAACAATACATAATGTGATATCTGTAAAATAAATCAATTATTTAATTTAAATTAATATTACTAATAATGCTATGCTTGTATTTATGATCAGATTTTTATATAATAATACACTGTATTTTGAAATTGAAGTCAGTATTTGCACAACCAGTTTTTCAGGCTTTAACAAAACATAAATTTAACACCATAACAAACATTAGTAATAACAAAACACATTTATATGGATACCAATTACTAGTTTATTTTACTAGCGATCTCTTTGCTATACAGCTTCACGGCTTCCTTACTCCTGTACGACTATATTGACTCTTGTCTGCGATATTACCCTAGGTGGAAGCGGACATAAAACCCCAAAGAAGAAGAAAGACAATATTGGCTTGTCTGTGATATCAATCTGGGTGGAAGCTACTACTGCTACCTATATGCCCATGGATTATCACCTGTTTGATAAAGACGATTGTGCAATTGTCAAAACGTTGCTAGTGTTGTCCATGTAAATGTGTTGTTAATTAAAATGCGACTTACAAAAGCATCAAAACATTAGTAATGCATGAACATTTTATAAATTTAACGTTATTAATAAAATATAATTATAAATGAATACTTTTTGAATCAAATAATATCAGTCCAAGAGTATTTGTTGGTACAGTATCCATTCTAAAAGTACAATACTGGTGTATAACTGTTTTGCGACCCTATAAATAGATTTCAATTTCTGATAAAGCCTTACAAATATAACTCGTAAAATTGAAATGAAACACTGGAAATAAGTTTCCATATCCAACAAAGAACGAAGTTATTTAATTCCTCATTATCATATATAAAATTCGAAATACAAAGGACTTATTTAATTAAACGGAACGTTTCTTTTTTGTCTCCTTCGATTCTGCCATGTTTGAAATTATTGTGTTTATATTGTACAATATCGATGTTACTTTGGCTGACAACCTGATGGTTATTTTGATAAAAAAATTATCTATTTTGTAATTATGTGAAAATATGACATAAATAAAGCAACTCATCCATAATACGATTTTAGAGACATAATGCCTGTCAAAATATAGCCCACAAGCGAAATGTTTTTCTCCGTGTTAAAAATTTATCACACCTGCAATATTTGAAAACTAATTTCAAATAGGTCGCAAAAGAATGCTGACGTCGTAACATAGTTTTATGTGACCCATTATAACAAACTGAGACATATATACACAAGTTAGCATAATTAGTAATTTTAACAGTCTAATTACAATCTGTTTCACAGAGATTTACGAGTCTTCTAATATCTCTGTAAAAGATGACTGCCTTTAACACATGCCGTCACAGCACGCGGCGTCAATAATTGGCTGAAGGGCGCGTGCATTGTTAACATAAGACGTTACTGCTTCGGGCAGAATGCTGCCTTTTAGTCATTTTAATACACTAAATAGGAAATAATTTTTACCTACAAATAGGTCAAACGTCTTTATATATTTTTCTAATACATCAAAAAAATGTTTTAGAATTTAATTTGTCGGTGGAAAAAAGTTAATATTTGAGACTCATCAAGTCGCATTGATGTCATCCTTATCAGTGATTGTAGCGGCCTATGGAATATTCACTTTTGATCAGTGTGGTCTAATAACTGTTTGAATGAAGCCTACATCCCACAATTCCGGGGTTATCTACCTGATAAGAAAGTAAACTTCTAGGTTCTTGGTGCATGGGGGTTAGAGTGGGTATTTACTTGCATCGAGCCCATCGACACATAACAATCTTGTTTTAGAGGCACAAGACATGTCGTACACATTATATCTTATATAAGTCAAAATTGTGTATTATTTTAATGTAATAACTGTTGTGATAATTTTAAAGCACATTAGGATATAAACACCTTCATGAAGAAAGTGTTGACTTGTACGAAAATGATAGCAGAATTATTATTATGTATTTGTCCAAGACACATAAAGAGAGCAAGGTGAAATCAATAGAAACTAATGTAAACTTTAAATTGCCATTTCATTAATCGATTTGAATAATTTAATTCTAATTTTATTTAATAAACTGCAGTTTAAACATACATTATGCAAGAGCAAATCTGCCTATTGCCGGTCTTTCTTTAGGCCTGAAGTGTTATCTAAATAATAATTAATTAGACATTAATTAACTTATCCAGACCATAATCAACACTCGATGACATCGTTAGCCTGCCATATTTAGTGGATTTGAATGCATTTTGTGATGGATAATTTAACGTAACAATGGATAATCAAGACATTGTTTATTATCGTACCAACGTTAGTAATGACGATTGGGGCTAGCCTAAAATTGAATCGCCAATATCTCGGTTCAGAGTGAAGCAATTTGACTGAAATTCTCATCATATTCTGTTTTAATTATCTATGTTTTTTTAACTATTATAGCGAGAACTTCAGCTCTTTATCTAATCTTACTTAATACCCCTTTACATATAGTGATGTTCATCGTTTTATAAGGTTTTTTTTAGCTCTAATAGAAAAGACTTTTCCCCCATTGTTGAGGACGTGGCATTGCTCTCAACTTGCACATAAAATAATCATTTGAATTGGTGCTTAATTGGCGTAGAGGTATACATTGACCTAGTAAATCTGAACCGTATGTAAATGCTAGATTCTATAAACTTTTGCAAGTAAAGAACATAATTGCATACTCTATTCTATACGTGACAGGCAACCAATGCAGCTCAAGTAACACTTTTTGTATGCGCATATTTAGTTGCACCCGTTGATAGAAAGTAGAGTTTAACAAAGAACTGAAAATGTCCAGCCTAGACGTGCTTGAATAAATGTCTTGGTAGCTTCGGTTGTTATAAACTTTCTGATTTTTACGATAGTACGCAGATGAAATTAAGTTCACTTTACCCACATTTCTAATTTCAGATCCCATGTTTATGTTGGTATGTAATATAGCACCTATGTTTCCTAGTTTCTTTCTCTCTTGCACTCTAACACTAGGAATCGCCATAAACAAATTCTTAGCATGCATTTCTGTAAGTTCAAACAGTCAACCAATCACAACTACTGTAAAGAAGTTAGGATGAATCAACTACTTGAGGTTCGCTGACTGTAAATATTGTAAATATTCATTAAACTGAAATACATAAACTAGACGAGAAATCTAGGGCCATTGATTTCTAAAAACTCGATTACATCGCAATCTATGGAATTGAAATTCTTAATTTTCGCTTGATATTAAAACATAACTCAAAGCAACTGTCAGCTTCCAGAGTATCTTAGTGTTGCCATTTAAGTTATGACCTTCATTAAGAGAAGCATTTCTCAAAAGTATTCAAATCGATTTAAAGCCGTTTAAGCTTAACTAAGGATATCTGGAATCGATCAATGTTATGTTGTGCTTGATATAGATATTAACTATTATTGTCGTGCACGTAAGAATCTTTAAATACACAATCTTGATTGATATATTTAAAAAAGCCAGCGAAAACATGATCCTATTTTTAAACTGATCGAAAAATGTACTCGAAATATTTGGCCTGAAAAGGGGAGTAAGGACCCTTGTAAATCAGTCTCGGTGTTCCCCAATACAATTAAAATCAACTGATAATTAATTTTCCTTTTATTTTTTATTTTGTAGCTTTTAAATATTACGGTCTCAATCTTACTAATACCCGGTTATTTTTTTCTAGACGTCCTGATGATACATACCACTGCTGGTAGTGATGGGTGTTATGCACGGAAACGTATATGCTTACTCTGGTACTACTTCACATTTAAGAGCGCATAGCGAAAACATTTCTTGGTGGCCTATGGTCCATGGATATCATAAGTCAAGTATGCTTACTCTTCTAGAACCTCTGGCACCCCTTCCCATAGCAAAACTAATAAAACTAATCTCGATATAGCCCCTACCTTCGAAATGTCGAGTTCGTGATAACGAGGTTTACTGTATACGCCCACCCTTTTATGGTTACAACACGCAATTATCACCAGGCCATGACACTAACAACAGTGAATTTATAACAAAAATTAAGAATATTAACGTTCATTTAATTGCTTAAGTTAAATATAAATATTTTTTGTTTAGTGTTTACATTTGTTACATTTAATGTCAAATATGATATAAAGGATACCTCATTTATGTCACTTCCTTCCAGATGTCAGGTCTAAATTATCTTCATAAGGTACATAATCTTAAGATGGCTGATAGCTGGCGCATTAAATCGGACCTACTGTAGACTTAAAAATAATTACAGGGCATTATATTAAGTCTCAGATAATTTCCTTGTATCCATGGAACACAAAAACCTTTATCTTTAATTGATTTTGTCTGGAATTAGTCCTGAATTTATTTAGATATTTTTAATGAAATCCATCGAATCGTTTCCATTATAAAACTAAATCGAACACGTCCCAATTTTGTTAAACTAACACCGACAGTGAAACGCATTAATACCCAAAACACAAAAATCTTGGTCCAAACTTTGATGTCTTAGAAGTTCACTGGTTCGGATCACGACACACAATTAATCTTTAAACTAAAGAACATCGATAGAATTAGTTGAGCGAGTTAGTAGTTTAACTTGAAGATTCGGAACCGTACTGTTGTTTTCAGACTCTTCTAGACTTACAATAGAACGCTTCCAAAGCAATTCAATTTGTCTCTAACTTAGGGAATACATAGAAATGGGAATATTAAGTCATGTTTTATGTTTCATAACTAATGCACACATGTGCTCCATTCTAAATTCAAGCATCGTTTATCGATCAAAAGTAAATTTATTGGTGTCTAGTTTTCCTTACGTAACCCTCGTATTACTTAAGATCGTTTGGAGTAGATAAGTTAGTTGAGAGCGCAAAGTCAATCGTCTTTGACATACATCATTTTATCGCCATTAGCCTTTGACTGTTATGAGAAAAATCCTCGTTCGCGATATATCAAATT